CACGCGGAATTGCGCGAGAAAATTCGATCTAACGAATTTTTTTTTTTTGATGCATTATTTATGATCGCCAGTGTATCATTCTGTTTTATAATCTCTTCGAGTGTCTCAAGTAAAGTGTGATAAAGAGGAATAACTAATGACAGAGTTGGATATTCTGACGAAGACATAAAAACAGTTGCTAATTTAAATAAATAAAAAAAAAAAAATAAGGTTATAACAATTTATTAGTAACAAAATACTGTATATTTATTAATATCGAATCAATACCATCTTTAAAAGGTTGTAAAACATTAACAAGAAGGTTTATTCTTTTCCATTCTTCATCAGTAATAATATATTGGCGTAGATCGGCTTCTGAAATAACAATAGAATCTAATACAGTTTGCAACATTAATGCTCGCTCACACATGTCAAAGGTGGAGTTTCACTGAGTAACAACATCAAGAATTGGCTTTAATGGACTTACTAGCTTTAATTTTTCACGACGATATCGTGATGCTCTGATACTTTTAACTAAACCACGTAGCTAAAAAAAAAGTATTATATATACAAATTTTGTATATTATTGTAATATACTAAATAATTAGAATATATGTAATAGTTTAATAACCTTATCTAACTCATTTTCTATAGCATTTAACATGCTTTGTACAGAAAGATTCAAGATATGACCAAAACACCATATTGATTGTTGCGTACTATCAAAATTAAAACCTGATTGAGAAAGAGAATTTGATAAATCAACTAAAAACTTGTTATTAGAGGATGCATTATCACATATAATCGCCATTAATTTGGGAATAACATTCATCATTCGAAGACATTCTTCTATTGTATTTGCAATCATAATACCCGTGTATGACTCATATACAAAGATAAAATCAAGCAGAACATGCTTAATTTCCCATGATTTAGTTAAAAAATGAACAGTAATGGCCATAAATGACTTATCATTTGTATTTATGGTCCAAATATCTGTGGTTATTGCAATACTTCTAGGAACTTCTTGTAATTTTCTTTTAAATCGTTCACGTTCTTCATCAAAACATTCCATAATTTGTCTTTTAATAAGATCGGCAGAAGGTACTAAAAAAAAATACTTTTTTTATTTTAAAAAAAATTATATTTATTAATTATTGTTATACCTATTGCATGAGGGTCTAAAAGTGTAATTAGTGATCTCAACTCCTCATCCTCAATAATTTGGAATGGTCGGTTATGAATTACAATCCATTGCTTAATCAGATTAATAAATTCTTTCTGATTAAAAGACTCACTGCGCTAATTTTTTTGATTATTTAACATGTCTATAACACTAATACTCAGTCTATTATTTTGTTCCCACAACTCAAGCACTTTGCCTTTATGTGTCTTGAGATGCTTTCTTAAATTTTATGTCGTTCCATCAGTATAATTTAATTTTCTATTACAAATATCACACTTCACTATTGGCTAATTTTTTACTTTTTTGCAATATTTCCATACAATAGATCTGTATAAAAAGATTAAAAGCATTGTAAGTATATTTAAATACTTGCTTTTATTTTAAATTTTGCAAATTATCTAACATTTGCAGAAGTCTTACTGCTAGCGTTATCCGGATCCGGAGGTAAGTCTTCTGAACATAATTCATCTTGATACAATTCGTCTTGATATAAGTTATCTAGACTTAAATCATCTAAGTAAGGGAAAGTTGAATAAATATCTAGATTGAGTGTCGATAGTGACATTGTTGATAATTAAGGAAGAGGGTGCCAAAAACAAGGTCTATGTTCTTTGTGCTTTTATTTCAGTTATAAATTGGATTGATTAAACTTTTTTTTTCTCAAAAGAAAAAAAATTGGATTGTATTTTGAAAAGACATCTGAGTGCAAAGACTAATTTTATATCTGATCGATCAAATTGAGGCAGGCTTTGCTTTTTAAATATCTTACGTATATATGATCTAATTGATTGTTGATCAAATTGAGGCTTTTTTTTCTTAATATATATCATAGTAATAGTTTAATACTAAATAATTATGTCATTTTGCTTTTTAAGTATAGCGTCATATGGCTTATCTGAAGGTAGCATTTATTAAAAGTGTTACTGTTATCAGCTATATTTTATCAAACCAAACCCGTGGTAAAGCCAGATATTAGCAAATTCTGTAACTAATGCTTTTCATTTATTTTATTCTAAATTTCTAAGGCATCATACAGTTCTTTTAATGGGGCTTTACCCCAAGCTAAGCCCAAATTAGCATTTATAAAAAAAGAGTAATGTTTAAAGAATATTTTTTTACTTTAACGGCTCTATTTTATTAAGCCGATCCTGTGGTAAAGCACTAGCAAATTCTATAGCTAATGCTACCTGAATATCCAAGGCATCATATGGTTTTTTTAATGGGGCTTCACCCAAGCTAAGCCCAAATTAGCATTTATAAAAAAAGAGTAATGTTCAAAGAGTGTTTTTTTTTACTTTAATAGCTCTATTTTATCAGGCCGATCTCGTGGTAAAGCACTAGTGAATTCCATGGCTAATGCTATCTATTAATAAGGCTTTAACTCAAGCTAAGCCCAAACTAGCATTTACCAAAAAAAACTAGTCCCGTGGCAGCAAAAAAAAAAAAAAAAGCTAATTCCGTGACTATCACTATCGTTATCCCAAAGCATTATTTGAATTTTTTAATAGGGCTTTACTTCAAGCTAAGCTTAAATTATTATTTATTAAAAAATGTGTAAATTCAAGATTTTTTTTTTTTTTACTTTCCGAACTCGTTATCAAATCAATTCCATAGTAAAGCCAAAAAAAAATTAGCCGCGATTACAAAGCTTATTCAGTATTTTCTTTAGTAATAAAATTGTTATCCGTTACAATTATTCATGTAAAAATATATATATCAACTTATCAATTTATTTTAACAATAAAAAAGAATGAGTCTCATGACTATGGGAGAAAATATTAGAATAAGATGGAAATTCAACTTGCTATTTTTTTAAAAAATTTCACATTATGAGTGTCTCTTCATTTATCGCTTGTAATTTTGTATATAACCAATTAAAATTTGGTATTATTATTACTAACCTTACTGGATCTTATCCAAACGAATCTCTATGTGTATTCAGAACCACCTGGATCCAAAAATCTATAGATCCAAACCTGAACCGCCGGGTCAGAACTGGGTCAAAACCGGATCTCAAATCGGGTCTGCAGAACACTATTATCTCCAATATATAGTAGAGATTTGATCCTATCTTTGACAGACTATCCAAATAGAATTTGTATCAGATTAGATATAAAGCTAGCTTTGAAAACACCCTTATGTTCATTATTTAAGTTCTTTGATAAATCCAAATAAAAATCTCTGATCTGGATATTTAAATTTATCTATATTTAAGAATCAATTCAGATAGTCATATTATAGATCGATTCACTAATATATGATGCTGATTTGTATTTTGGTAAAGCTCAAATTTATATAAAGAAAAGAAAGTTAGTTTAAACCAAAAAGATAAAAAAATAAAAAATAAAAAAACTGGCACTGATCTTCAAAACAAGTTTTCAGTTCTAGCTATGTAGTTACTAATCTAAGTTAAGCCAAATAATTCTGCTAATTTATATTTAACAAAACCATACTGGCATTCAAATATTATTATCTAATTCTCTGATTTAAAAAATAAAAAATAAAAAGAAGTTAGTAATCAGAATTAAAAAAAAATATTAAATAATAAATAAACATGAAAAAAGCTATTTTGTTAAATTAGTTAAGTTAGAAGTTTATAATACTGTAAATAAAAAAGAAAACAAAGATCTTGTAATATGTAGAAAATAAATAAAACTTTATTTTTAATCAGATATTTTGAAAAGAGTTTTATAATTTATTACCAAAGTTACCTTTTCTTGTAACTATATATTTATATATAATGTAGTAAACTTTTTTTTTTTTATTTATTGTCACAGTTAATGCTGAAATTGGCTGATACTAAAATTTTGATTTATTTTATTATAAAATTTTAAAAAATTTTTAGGTCTTTTCGTTAGAGAGTTTTTTTTAGTGTTTGAGAGTAGAGTTGTTAGTAAAAAAAATATATATAAATTTTAGTAGATATTATGATTTAAATTGGGACTCTAAATTTTAGTATCAGCCAATTTCATATTTATTTATATATATTAAAAAAATACCAATATACTTAACCCTAACCCAACTAGAGATATGCTATATCAATATGAAGTGTTAATTGTTATATGACTAATTATTTAAGTTAAAAAACTAATAAATATATAATAGTACATCTCTAAGGGAGTTGCCAAAAATTAGGTAATTTCTATCTCTTAAAAGTTTACTCCACCCATCCATACCTAATATCTTATTAGCTAATCAAATTGCACAAAAAATTTATATATTAATTAATTAAAATTTTTAATATTATATACAGTCGTCCCTCCATATAGTCATCTCCCATATAATCACATCATATGTAATCACATTTTTATTTAGGCCAAACT